TGGTGTTGGCAAAATTGGAAAAATATCTGCAAAAGACTCAAGCAAGACCCACACCTCACTCCATACACAAAAACCAACTCAAGGTGGATTACAACTTTTTGAGAAAGTGCCAGACTACTTTCCATAATGATTGTACCATTTTACGTTCCCACCAGCAATGGATGAGTACCAATGTCTCCACAACCTCTCCATCATTTGCGGTTTGCTGCCCTGATGAACTTTGCTGTTGTTGCTGGGGTGTGATGGTATCTCAGTTGTATCCAGCCTGCTTTTTTACACTGTTGTTGTATGCCATCGAGTAGGAACTGACCCATAGGCCACCCTCTAGCAGATTTTCAGAGGCAGTTAATCGCAGGGGAGAAGACTGCCCATCCTTCTCCCTCTTTTTACACTATTCTACTTAAAATATCCCCTTTTAACCTATAGTCCAGAATTCCACTCGGCCCTTGACGTCTAAGTCAAAAGCTAAGTATCTACTCTTTAAATCTTCCCTGACCAGCCACATTTCCTTTCTCTGAGTTACTAACATTATTTTATACACAACTCTAGTAGTGCACTTTACCTCTCGTATTACAATACTATCTTTTGGACAGCTAGTGTTTTAGACTCGAACTCCTCAACAGCTGAATTGTCTAAGCCCTGCTTCAATTATGGGAGGAATCAGCACCTAAAACAGTACATGGTAAAAGCAGGTGCTCTTTTAGGTGCTCTACATCTGACTGACGAAAAAGGTATTACAGGGTCATAGGTAAAAATTATTCATTTCCAGGGTCCACCCATTCCTAGCCCTGAATTCGGAAAGAAACACTTTTAGGTTAGCTTTAGGCCTGAGATTATATACTAGAAATTGAACCAAACCAGAAAGCTGTGACTGCAGGGAGTCAAACCAACCCTGACAGCATCCTGGTCGCATCTGGTAGACCCGCCAGGGCGTTCCCAGACGGCGACCCTCGGAGGACCCTGGTCGAAAACTAGGAGCGCCCATCCACCTAGCGAGTGTCCTGGCGGGCGCGCGACGGAGGGGCGGAGCCGGCCTCGCCCCGCCCTGCCCCGGGCTCTCGGGCCAGCCTCCGGTCACGTGATCGCTGCGCAGGTGAGCGCCGCTTCCGGGGTCGGGCGTCCGGAGGATCGCGGCTAGCTCGTTCTTCTACTCGGTCGGGTGCGCGGAAGACTATGGCGTCCTCCTCGGCCCCTCCGGCCACCGTACCGGCGGCGACAGCGGGCCCCGGCCCAGGTTTCGGCTTCGCCTCCAAGACCAAGAAGAAGCATTTCGTGCAGCAGAAGGTGAAGGTGTTCCGGGCAGCCGACCCGTTGGTGGGCGTGTTCCTGTGGGGCGTAGCCCACTCGGTGAGACCTGACCCCTGACGTCCCACCCCACCCGCAATCCTACTTGGACCCCTTAGCTCCTGACTCTCTGGGAGTCCTTGTTTCCAAGACCCGGCTACGAAATCCCTGACGCTATCATTTTCCGCCACGCGCTGTGCTCTCCCTGCCTACCCAACTCTTGGGTGTTGCTGTAGACTTTTTTTCTCTTGTAGACTTACATTGTCTCCCATTTGCCCTTTAGTCCTCCACTCCAGGTCCACCTTCCCCTTCTTAAATCGAGATTCAGCTCCAGAGATTGGCTTGGACTGGACTCCAACTGAGAGAATTGTTGGGGGGAGTGGCTCTTCTGGGTTGGTGGTGTGGTTTCTGGTGAGAGTGTTTATGTGTGTGTGCATGTATTGTAGCTGAACAAAGGGGGCTCATTCTTTCCACACCTTGCTTTCTAGTCCCAGTCCTAGACTTTGGAAGCTTGACTTTATGTGGGGGAAGCTTTATATATCCTGGACTTTCTAAGCCTACTGTCCCTTCCTTTCCTTTCCAGATGCACAGTGTGTGAGAGGTTGCCCCATCTCTATCTACCTCGAGCCTAGTGGGTACTCTGTTTCAGGGTTGTGTGTGTGTATATTTTTGGTCCTGTATGCATCTTCATTGTCGGTTAGAAGGATGGGACTTGATAGTCTTTGTCTAGCGAAAAGACTAACAAGCCCTCGAGGCCCTGGAAACACTACTGTGATGAACTTTAGAAACAGAGAACTTGGAGTGGAGGATATGACCTAGCACTTAGTAGACCAAAGAAGCAAGCTGTGCACCTCCTTTCTGAGGATAGTGAAGCAAAAACAGCCTTCCTCCCCTTACTCAGGTTTGCATTGTCAGGAATATAGTGACTTTGAATTAGGCAGGGAATATTTCAGAAATCAACTTTTCTTGATGTTTTTATAGTTATAACAGGGCTGTGTAGGTTGGAAAGAGGTGAGGAGGGATACAATTTTTGTCATACTCTTAATTTATACCTTAGACTGTTGTTTAGGATCAGTCTTACCCTGTTTGCATTTGTGACTCTATTGTCTGCTCCCACTTGCTTGAGGATAATGTTAATAGCTGAAAATCCAGTGTAAGTTGCTTGGTGTGGACAAAGTTAATGGAGGTGGTATGACTTCTACTGTGTCCCTTCCAGGTGACTCGTTATGCCTCTGAGAAACGGAGGATTTTCTTTGGAAGGGATTGGAATTACATAGAAGACCTGCCTCAGGTTTTCTCAGGGGGGCACCTCCCTCCCCCCGCCACTTTAATCCAAATACCCCATCCTTCAGCCAACACACATTTACTTCAAATGTCTGGAATGGAGAAATTCCTTGAACATATGTCTTAATGATGATTCAGCCTGTTTAACAGCATGTGGGGAGGAGGGGGCAGGAAGAGCTATAGCTGAATCTTAGGCTGGGAATCTCAAGTGGTTCTTTTTTTTTGGTTGTTTCTTTTTCCCCCCTGTGGAATAATATGTTCTGTCCTCTTTTTCTACTGAGAATGGGAGGAGTTAGGTTGTTCTGCAGTGTATAGGATTTAGGTTAGGATGCACTTGATAACCTCTAACAAATGCTACAATAAGGCAGGGCAGACATTCTTTTATTCAGATGATAACACTTGAAGACCACTATATGCCAAACGTTGTGCTTGCTAGGCACCTGAGAGATGCAGAAGACTAAAACGGGCACTTGCCCTTGAAGATTTCACAGTCTAGGTGGGAGAATTTTTATAAACTAGTGATTAAATCATATGGCATTTACACTATTATTAAAGGTGTGTGAAAAGTATTATGGAGTACTAAGGGAAAAACATCTCTTTGGGATTTTTTAGTACAACTACCTCTCACCCTCAGTTTTCCCACTGCAGTTTGTTTAGGGGCTGAGGAGAGCATGTGATGCTTACATTCCTTGGGCTGTGGAATAACTTGACTTTAGTGAACAGGCATCTAATGAGCTCATACCCTCTGCTTGTCCACATTCCCTCTGAAATCAGCTCCTCTTCCTTTACCTTACACATAGGAAAGTGGGAATCTACTGGAGAGAATTGGGTCAGAGGGGGCCAGATGATTTGTGACTGTTGGTAAGGAATTTCCTTTTACATTTCTTCCTTCTTGCTGATGTTGACCCTTCAAGAGTCCCATTAATTCTCTTGTGTATTTTATAAATGCTTTTTTTGTTTTTAATGGCCAGGGAACTGTTTGTCTTGTGTCTGCTGAGGGTATTTTTCCCTTTAGAACTTCTCACAGCTTTAAAAATAGACCTGAGTTGCTTACAGGGTTTGCCTAATATAAAATGTCTGTTGTGAGCTTGAAGTTCCATGGGAGTGGGGGTGTGAGGGGCTGTGTGTGAGGGTTGCTTACTGCCTTCCTGCTTGGGCAGCAGAAGAGGTTGGACATACTCTGTCAGCTCTGTCATGCATGTACATAGCCTATGTTGTTAAAGCAACAAGGTTTAGGCTGTCCTTTCCTGATGCTGCTTGGGCAAAGTATTTGGGTAGCTCTCTTCACTCCTGCTTATTGCCACCATGTTTGTATTTTGACTTATCAGATCAATGAGCTCAGCCAGGTGCCTCCCCCAGTGATGCTGCTTCCAGATGACTTTAAGGCCAGCTCCAAGATCAAGGTCAACAATCATCTTTTCCACAGGTTAGTATAGGCCCTTGTTTTTCCTTAATGTCAGCAGTCTTAGAAGAGAGTAATAAATAATTTTAAACCCAAGATTCAGTGGGTTTGAATGTTTTAGGTTTAGACAGTAACTTGTAATCTAACCTTTTACCACTGCAGAAATTCATTTTTGTGCAAAAGAACCATTAAAATCTCCATTTACCCCAGACCCTTTTATTTACTAATGTTAACCTGGTTCTAGCCCAGCAACTTTATAGAATAAATATGGCCACCATGACTGTTAGCTTTTGATATGCAAACTTAACAATTGCCGCTGAGTTAAAGTTACTCATAAGACACCTTTCAGTGGGTTTTTAGAGGCTGTAAACCTCATGAGATTGCCCATTGTTCTTCGTTGGAGCATCTGGTGGATTTGAACTACCTGCCTTTGGGTTGACAGCACAACTCCTTACCCTCTAGGCTACCAGGGACTCCCTAAGATAAATACTGAGTTCTCTGAGTCTAGTATTAGATGATGCCATTCAAAATGGTGGCATCAATTTTTAGGTTACCTTGAACTTGCTTGAGATTTGGGAAGTGTTGAGATAGACAGTCGATCCTGCCTCTACTTACCCTCCACTTACCACCTAGAAAAGTCCCTTAACCACTCCTTTAAAGGACCTCACATGATTTTATGAGAGTCAGATGAGGTAAGGTGTATGTATGAAGGTGCTTTATAAACTGTTAAATCTGAGGGAGCTCTGGTGCCCTAGTGGCAGGAAGCTGCACTGCAATCCCAGAGGTATGTGGTTCAAATCCAGCAGATGCACTGCTGGAGAAGGAGGGGCAATCTCCTCCTGTAATAGTCAGATCCAACTTGACTGTACACACAAAAAATAATAAAGCTAAATTTTTTAAAAAACAAACTATTCGAATCCACCAGGTGCTCTGCTGGAGAAGGAGGGGCAATCTCCTCCTGTACCAGTCAGATCCTATTTGACGGTACAAGCACAAAAAAAAAAACTATTAAATCTATGTATATGTAATATTGTTACTTTGCTTTCTTGTTTTCAAAACCCTTATTCCAGGGAAAATCTGCCCAGTCATTTCAAGTTTAAGGAGTATTGTCCGCAGGTCTTCAGGAACCTCCGTGATCGATTTAGCATTGATGACCAGGATTATTTGGTGAGAGTCCATTAAGGGCGATGGGTAGTTCTTTCTACTTAGCAACTGAGGAATCCTTGAAATAGTCATACTTGGAGTAATAAGAACCTTGGAAAGTATGACTTTTTTTTTTTTGGAAAGTATGACTCTTGACTTTTTTGAAGTCCCAGGCATCTTTACAAATCTGATAAAAGCTATAAATCCCGTCCCTGGGAAAAATGTAGGTACAATCAGATTTTGCATTCTGTTTCATGCAGTCCATTTATGAAGATCAGATTAAGAACCACTGTTCAACTCATACTCCAGCCTTTCATTCATTTTCAGATGTGTTAAGTTGCCTATTTTTCTGAGATTTGCCTCTCTATGTAAGAAGAGAAGAAAAGAGCCTTTGGCCTGTTCTGTGTACTCAGGTGTCCCTGACCCGGAGTCCCCCAAGTCAAAGCGAAGGCAGTGATGGTCGATTCCTTATCTCCTATGATCGGACTCTGGTCATTAAAGAAGTGTCCAGTGAGGACATTGCTGACATGCATAGCAATCTCTCCAACTACCATCAGGTAAGCCATTTTTTCCCCATCATCATTCTTTTCATCATTCCTGTCTCATACTGAGCTGCCAGAGCACACAGGGAGACTTCTCTGTTTTTCTACTGACAGCCCATTTACTCCTTTAGAAACACTTGGCATCACGTTTTTTGAAGCTAGGAATTGTCCCAAAAAAGGCATGTATGTACCTAATTATGGTTGACTACATAGAAGAACTTAGCTATATTTCTTCCCATCTGATGTTTTCACTGTAAAACCAGTTGATTCATAGATAAAATTTAAAGGAAAATATAAGTTATATAGAAAGTCAGATTAGGTGAAGCATTAATATCACAGATGTTGTTGTTGTTATGTGCTGTTGAGTCGTTTGCTACTCATAGCGACCCTATGTACAACAGCCCTAAACCATGCTCTATCCCATGCCAGTCTCATTGCCTCTGGCACCCCCATCCCGATTACCCCAGTCACTGAATCAATCCACCTCATAGAGGGTCTTCCCTTCCTGCGCTGTCCCTCTACTCTACCCAGCATGATGTCCCTCTCTAAAGACCTATCTCTCCTTACAACATGTCCAAATTATGTCAGGCAAAGCCCCAGAATCCTTGCCTCCAAGGAGCAGCCTGGTTTAATCCTCTCTACGATGACTCTGTTTGTTTTCTTGGCAGTCCATGGTACATTCAATACTCTTCTCCAGCACCACAGCTCAAAGGTGTCAATTCTCCTTCTATCCTCCCTAGTCATTGTCCAACTCTCTGATGTATAACAAGTGATTGCAAAAACCATGGCCTGTATCAGGCGCACCTTAGTCTCCAGAGAGACACCGTCTCAGAAATAAGAGCAATTTGAAGAAAAAATCCAGGATAAGTGCACAGTTGGGATGGTTGGAAGTGAGAAGTCATCGTCATTTCTACCCCTAAATGGGCTCAAGGAAGCCATTCAGTCTGATCATATTAACTTGTAATCCAGGGTTTATGGAATACTTTGGTGATAAAATTACTCCGCCTGAATGTATCTCTACTGAAGAAAAATCTCACCGAAATAAATGAGCAAGAAATGAGTACAGGAAAGACTACAAAAAGAGTCTTTTGTTTATCCAACAAATATTGAATGTCTGCTATTGCTAGGCTCTATGTTAGGTAGTAAAGAAAGAAGTGAATGAAACAGTTGTGGTCCTCAAAGTTCAGAATACTAGACTGTAGCCATTTTCACTCAGTGACAATGAGTGTTTCTCAGTCTAAGGTTCTCTGCCTCTCAGTAAATTTCATTTGTTTTCATTTAAAAAAGAACAAGCAAAAACCTAGGCCACCAGCATTGGTACACAGTGCAGTGTGTGCCATGGTAGAGGTATTTGTAGAGAGTGCCCTGGGGGTACAGAATAGGAATCCATCAGGGGAAAAGGTGCAGTCGAAATGCTCAAGGGTTTTTTTAGTGGAACTGTTGGAGGAGGACCAGGCAGTGTTCTGTTGTACTAGGGTTGCTGTGACTCTGAAACAATTCAACTGCACCTAACAACATAATAACCTTAGGGTCTGACTCATTCTAAAAGTAGTAGTGGTTAACCATTGGACATAATGAATAATTAGAGGATTCTAGACAAAAGGAAACGGACTTGTTAAGACACTAAGCTATAAGAGAACTTGGTCATAGTGAACTATAAGAAATGCTTTATAACTGGGATACAGTATTGTGGGAAAATAGTTAAAGAGCTTATAAACCACACGAAGTTTGGGCTTAATCCTGAAGGTGATTTGTAGGAGTTATGGATATATGATTTAGAAGTATCTTTGTAACATTGTTTTAGAGAATGGATTGTAAAGAGCCATAAAGTCATGTACCACTCAGCAGACTGTGAACAACAGATCTGAACCCTGTCCTATCCTACACTATTCTTACTGTCCCCAACACACTTGGGAGAATCCTGGGAGTGGAGAGACTGAGGAGGAATTAAAATAGTTCAGGTAAAAAATTCAAGGGAGAAAGATGGGCAGTCTCTTCCCGTGCAATTTACAGCCTCTGTAGAAACCCCCTGCAGGGTCAGCTATGAGTCAGTTCTGATTCAACAGCACAAAACAGCAGTATCATCAGGTAAAACAATGATGAGAGCCAAAATTCAAGGCAATCAAGATGGAAAAGAGAAGAATTGTGGGAGTGAAGGCAAAGGATCTTCCACATTCCTGGTTAGCATAACAAGATGCCCATCCTCCAACAGCTGGGAAACATAAAGAGAAACTGATTTCTAGAAGAAGACATTTTTAATTTAGACATGTTGAATGTGAGGTTTCATCGAGGTAGATTCTTAGTAAATGAAAGGAGTGTGGAGTGATATAAAAAGGAAGTTGAAGAAAAATAATAAAAAATTACCCCAAAAAAAAAGTGGCAAGAAGCTGCACTGCAATCCCAGAGGTACGTGGTTTGAATCCACCAGATGCTCCGCTGGAGGAGGAACAATCTCCTCCTATACCTGTCAGATCTGATTTGACAGTATACACACAAAAAATAATAAAAAAATTGAAAAAAAAGTTGACAGAATCATCAGGATCAAAGAACCTGTAAAAAAGAACCTATAAAAGAGACCAAAAGTAAGGAAATGCTTTTAACTATTTATGCCTTGCTTTAGTCTGTATTAGATTTGAGGATAGAGAAGTGGAGTATAAATGGCACTGAAGATGAAGAAGGAGCTCTGATGGCAGAGTCTGAAGTGGGTTGCAATTTTAATGCAAGACCGCGCATCTTCAGCTACTCAAAACTACCAGTAGCTCTTGAGGGAAAACAATAGGCAGTTTCCAGGTAGGTTTTATAGCCTCACAAACCCAGTAGAGAGAGCTCTGGGGGCCTGGTGGCAAGACGCTGCTCTGTAATCTTGAAGGCGTGTAGCTTGAGGCCACCAACTGCTCCTTGGTCAGTTGCCTCCTTTGCCATTAACTGCCCCTGAAAACCTATTGGAGGGTCACCTATGGGTCAGTTATGACTATGGTACACAACAACAACAACAACCAGTAGAGGGTTGTTATGAGTCAGTACTGATTTGATAACATTGAATTGACTTGACAGTAAAAAGAGATATTGGGACGGGAGTGATCAACAGTATCAAGTGCCACATGAGAGTTGAAATATGACAATGACTTCAAAATACTCAGTGGCTTTGACAATTGAAGGATTGGAGAAAGGGTGGTAGATTCATTTCAGAGTCAGATTGAAGGTCCAAGCCTAATTTCTGTGGTTTGAGTTATAAATGAGAAGTAGCAAGTAGAAACACTGGTTGGTGACTAGAGAAGAGTGGCTATGAAGAGGAGGCGATAGTGCTTAAAGGTACTAGTAGCATTGAGAGAGATTTTTTAAAAAATTTAAACTAAATGCCATTATGCACTTTTTTTTTAAATGAAATCTAGTCCACCAAGAAACACACTGGTCTAGATGAAATAATTTAGTTGGTAAGCAGATTGTTGTTGTGTGCCGTCGAGTAGCTTATGACTCATAGTGACCCTATGTACAACAGCTCTGAAGCCTGGTCTGTCTGAGCCAGTCTCACTGATTCCAACACACAAACCCCCATTGCCCCAGTCACTGTAACAATCCATCTCATCTGAGGTCTTCTCTCCTGCGGTCCTTCCACCCTTCCAAGCATGATGTCCTTCTCCAAGGATTTCTAATCCTGCTTCTGTGACTTCTGGGAAATCACTTACATATAAAGAAGATCTAAGATGACTACTTGCTTACCTTCCCTATCTCTGTGATAAAGATGAGAGAAGGTAATGTAAAATTAAAACATTATAAAAATGGAAAAATCAAAGGAGATGGGATTCAGGAATAGTGTGTGTGGATAATAAGGCATCTTTAGGAAGGCCCTACCACTTTAGACCATGTAACTACTCTTGATTCTTCTGTCCCACTCAGAAATGATAGCATTTGAATTCCCATCCCTGGTTCATTTGTGTGTCTCTTCTCACCCTCTCCCCAATTCCTTTCTTCCCTTCCACTCCAGTACATTGTGAAGTGCCATGGCAACACATTACTGCCTCAGTTTCTAGGGATGTACCGTGTCAGTGTGGACAATGAAGATTGCTACATGCTTGTTATGCGCAATATGTTTAGCCACCGGCTTCCTGTGCACAGGAAGTATGACCTCAAGGTAAGGACTGGATACCTAGGGCTTCAGGAGATAACTTCTGATGACCTGAAAATGAGGGCGGGCACTGGGAGATTCTTTTTAAAGGAAAGAAGGCTGTGGATTTCAGTACTTTTCTTAGGAGCTGGGTACTAATTCTTTTAGCCACTTCTGCTGACTTGGTCTTTGGGTCTCTCCACAGGGTTCTCTAGTGTCCCGAGAAGCCAGCGATAAGGAAAAGGTGATACTAATTTTAGGTAGTAGGGTAAGGGATGGGGGACAGCAGATGAAAGGGATTTTCTTATGATGAAAACTGCATTATCCCTAGGGAGTAGGAATCACTTCAGTTCCTTTTTATCTTAAACACACTGTCTTCAAGTCTCTTCTGACTCATGAAAACCTTCCATCAGATTTCCGAGGTTATGGACCTTTATGGGAGTAGACTACATTGTTGTTTTTCCTGAAGAGCAACTGGGGGTTCAAACTACTGATCTTTTCATTAGCAGCCCAACACATAACGTAGTTCATCACCAGGACTCAAAGAAGACAGCTGCTTTGTCACCAGCATAGGTTATTTCCTATGAAATGTTTGGGGATATTGAGGATGCTACATTTTAAGAACAAAATGCATCTCTCACTCCATACTCTTGTTTTACAAGCAACTGATTTAACTTAATAAGAAAAAGCATGAATGTTATTGACTGAAAACAATAAGCAGAGAGAGAGTAGTGGGTTATGATTCAGGTTACACTCAACAGTGACTGATGAGTCTGGGGGAGCCACTGGAGATGAGAACAAATTAGAGCAGCATTATGATGTGGAATCCCATGTGAGGTGAGCCATCATGTATCTTCCTCAGAGGCCATTGGGTTGGAGAATAAAGTCCTAGAAAAGGCAGGGTTCTTTGAGACTTTGCGAAACAAGATATATTCCACGACATTCTTTTACCTGTCCTCAGGTTAAAGAATTGCCCACTCTTAAGGATATGGACTTTCTCAACAAGAACCAGAAAGTTTATATTGGTGAAGAAGAAAAGAAGGTGTTTCTAGAGAAGCTAAAAAGAGATGTGGAGGTGATGATTGGGGTGCTCTGAGGAATGGCTTTGTTTCCCATTTGTGTGTTCCCTACAGGTCAGATATATCTTTCCTATTCATAATATGAGGGAGTTTCTCCCTTTCCCTTTATTCTTCAGACCCTCTACATGATGGGAAGTTTAGTAGTAGACATGAAAGACCTCCCCCAGAGTTGGCCCATGGAGCAGTGGTTGGAATGAGCTAAAAGGATGATATTAGATAGAAAATAGGACATTTAAGCACAAAAAATTGGTGGTATACTTGCCACTTATACATTTCTGTACCCTTGGAAAGCCCTAAAAAATCAGAGGTGTGACTATAAGGGTGGTACATGGGACTAGGGAAGGAGATATGGGGTATCTGATTGGTCATTCGGGTCTCAGTTTCTAGTACAGCTGAAGATCATGGACTACAGCCTGCTGTTGGGCATCCACGACATCATCCGGGGCTCTGAACCAGAGGAGGAGGGACCTACCCGGGAGGAGGAGGCAGAAGGGGAGGGGGACTGTGGTCTAACCGGACCTCCTGCGCTGGTGGGCTCCTATGGCACCTCCCCTGAAGGCATCGGTGGCTACATCCATTCCCATCGACCTTTGGGTCCTGGAGAGTTTGAATCTTTCATTGATGTCTATGCCATCCGGAGTGCTGAAGGTAAGAGGTCCTCAAAACTTTAAGGGTGGGAAGGGTTTTTCCTTAGAGGACAAACCAGGGTTATGAGTAAAGAGTGGTGTTAGCTTTTTTAAAAAATAAAATTTGGCTGGTTCCTGGGGCAAGGGCATCAGAACTGTATGTTGGTCTTTCTTGCCAGGGGCCCCCCAGAAGGAGGTGTATTTCATGGGTCTCATTGACATCCTGACACAGTATGATGCCAAGAAGAAAGCAGCTCATGCAGCCAAAACTGTCAAGCATGGTGTAAGAGTTCCCCAAAGCTTTTCCTTCCTGTACCATCCTCCTCTATTAGGAACTACTGGCTTGACTTGTCTTGGGAAGAAAGAGAAATGGGGTAGCAGAAAGATGATGAGGTGAGGAGGAATGGGTACGGGTGATCTAACACTGTTCCATATTTCCCCTCACAGGCCGGGGCAGAGATCTCCACTGTCCATCCTGAACAGTATGCTAAGCGGTTCCTGGATTTTATTACCAACATCTTTGCCTAAAAGACTCCCTGACTCCATGGTGACTTGCTGCTTTATGTTCAAGGTGGTGGGGTTCTGAGAGGCTTGGAGGAATTCATCTGGCCAATACTTCTTTTCCTCCTTTGCTAAATTCAGACAGCAGGCTCCTTCTATCCAGATAATTCCATTCCTTTGCATTGACCTTTCCTGACCCTCAAAAATATATCACCTGTTTTTCCCTTTTTCCCCTCCCCCCAGAAAATCTGTGTGCTTTATTAGGACGTTACTGTTGACGCTCTCAAGTGCCTTGATCTTTGTAAAATGTCCTGTTGTTTCTGTGAAAGAGAAGGAGCTGGGGGGACAGGGTTTTTTGCCATCTTCAGAACCTGACTGGACAAATGGACTTGGTTCAAGCAGCTACTCTGGATGCACTTTGCTGTGTGGAATGAACTGAGAATATGAATTTTGCTGATAACTTTATAGAACTCACGTGGTGTGCTTCTATCCCAGTAGGCCCTGGGATGGAGAACATTGAAGATACGAGTGCAGGCATGTGCACATATGATGAAATAAATGGCCAATCTTGTAACAGAGAAGGGGTAAAGAGTAGTCAGCAGGCTGGCTCCTCATAGAGGTGGGATCCAAGGGGACTCATGATTATGTAGGGATTTAGAGAGGATCTCTACCAAGGATTGGCTACTTTCTAATCATTTCCCTTAGTCCACTTCTGTCTCCACTCATCTGTGTTTCTGGGTGCAGGAATCCAGAGATGGCCAAAACCTGGTCACGGTATTTGATTGTTGCTGCTCTTCACCAAAGCCTCACTCCCCTCTAGGGCTTGAACTCCCTTCTGTGGCAATGTGGCTAGTTCTGGAGGCTGGGATGAAGGGCTAGGGGTGTGAGGTCCATTATCATATTTAGTTTATGTCTTCCTTTTTAGTTATCCTTGTGGTTTATTCCCAACAGAAACGATTTCCCCACCTGAGGTCAATTCTTGTCATTTCAAGAGGATGGAGTCATGAGTGTGGGACCCTCCCCTACCCCCTGGAGGTGTGTGCCTGTCACCTTTCCTTTCCCCATCTCTCTCAAACCCTTGTCCCAGTTTGAGTTGTCATCATTCTTTTTTGTCCTGTCTTAAACTGCTTTGTGCCTCCCAGGAGACAGATGGCCTTTGTCATCTTCACTCTCCACCCCCAGAGAGGAGTCAGAGCCATAACTCAATCTACACACTCACACCCCCGCGCCCCCCCCCAGGTAGTTGATACGTGACATTCTCAAAATATAGAGGACACCAAATGAGATGCGGTAAGCTAGGCTGTCCTCCCTCCCCAGTGTCTTTGAGGCTAAGGCAGCCATTCTTGCTGTCTGCCATCCCCCTTGCTATCTTCCATTTCACTTGAGGTTTCAAAGTAAAGATGGGCACCAGGCCTGGAGAAATACAAAGCTGCTATGCTTTGTATCTGACTGAACTGTCTTACAAGAAGTCATTAAGGAGAGAAGACTCACTTCTCTCATCTTCTACTCCAAAGGAGGAAATGAGGAATTCCCAATTAGGGATTAGAGCCCCTATAATATGTTCCCATCTGGGGCCTGATGCATCATTTTCATTCTAATCATCTATCTTTCCCCTGTTGAATGCAATAAAACTCCATGACACCAGCAACTGTTCCTTGGAAATGGGGTTTCTGACCATGTGGCTGATGTATCATGGGCGGTATGGTCTTCATTTGTTGCTTCTGTTTTTCCTCTTTTTTGTTTTATTAATAAGATCTTGTGTATTTACTCCTATTGCTGTCACAATGTAGAAAATAAATTATTGAATCCAAAACCCTTTTAAAGAAATTGCATTTTTAAACTATACTTTTCTAAGAAAATACTGCTTATAATATGCAGCTGACTCAGAACAACTAAGTTAATCCTCTAGTGGGGTTTTCAGAGGCTCTAAATCACCAGTGTCAGATGGATCTTGGCAGAAAGCAAAGAGTAACAGGGATATCTGTGTTTCATTGACTATGCTCAGGCTGTGTGTATCACAACAAATTGTGCTTAACCTTAAGCAGAATGGGAATCTCAGAACACTTAATTGTGCTTATGCGAAACCTATACTTGGAGCAGAAAACAGTCCTTAGAACAGAGTGTTGTTCAAAATCAGGAAGGGAGGGCGTCAGGGATGTGTCCTGTGTTCATATCTTTTCAATCTATATACAGAACAGATCATTCGGGAGGCTAGGCTTTATGAGGAGGAATGTGGCATGAAGATTGGAGGTAGACTCTTCAACAACCTACGTTATGCAGATGACACAACCTTGCTTGGTCAAACTGAGGCGTACCTGAAGTGCTTGCTGCAAAAGGTCAAGGACTGTAGTCTTGAATATGGTTTGAAGCTCAACATTGGGAAGACAAAGATTGTCACCACTGGGCCAATTGGTAGCATCATGATGGATGGAGAAGAGATTGAGGTTGTTAAACAACAGCTTGCTCAGCTTCACAATCAACATTCTTAGCATCAGCATTCAGGAAATAAAAAGACAAATTGCATTAGGTAAATCTGTCGGGGACCTTTCCAGAGTACTGAGAAGCAACGATGTCAGTCTGGAGACTAAGATGCACTTGATCCAGGACGTCATCTTTGTAATTACTTGCTGTGCAATAGAGAGCTGGATAATGACTAAGGATGATAAAAGAATTGATGCCTTTGAGTTGTGCTGAAGAAGAGTCTTGAACATAACCCTGGGCTGCCAAGAAAAAGGTCTGTCTGGGAGAGGGTGAAACCACATTTCTCCTTGGAGGCTAGGGTTTTGAAACTCTGTTATACATACATTGGACATGTGGGTAGGAGGGTCTGATCCTTGGAGAAGGACATAATGCTAGGAAGGATGGAGGGACACAGTACAGGAGAGGAAGACCCCAGATGAGATGGGTTGGTATAGGAACTAGGACAAGGCGGGTAAGTGTTTCGAAGTCAGTGAGACTGGCTCAGGACAGGGCAGGCTTCAATAGGGTCACTATAAGTTGCAGGCAACTTGACAGCAAATAACACGTTCCAAAGAAGGAGATTGCAAACCTCAAAAGAATAATTCTGGTCTTCACAGTGTGGGCTGCTAACTAAAGATGTAGGTCTCTAGACAGGCTGGGAATATAATAAATTATAGGTGGTGGTGGTGTGTGCCTGTAAGTTGGAACCGACTCATTCCCTACTCCGCAGTGGGTTTTCAGAAGCAGTAAATTCCAAGGGAGGAGAATGCCCATCCATCTTCCAAGGAACAGCTGGTGGATTTGAACCTTGTGTCTTTGGAATTGCAGCTCAGCTTCACTAGGCCACCAGAGCTCCCTATATTAGTAGTAAGAGAAAGAAAAACTATTCAACTTCATGACATGGAGTTCAGCTATAAGGGCCAGAGAAAATGGATGATGTGGCTTCCCCAAGGCTTGGAACTTCTTCATACTCTTATCTCAATTCTGTTGAGGTGAGTGGGCCTTAGCCTACAAGCTAAAAGTGAAACTGTAGTGTTCCAGACTCCCAGGGAAAGATGATCTCTGCCTGAAAGGGTACTAGAAGGGCAGGAAGGGTCCTGGGAAAGTAAAGGAGAAAGTAACCAGTCTTCAAGCCTAGAGGGGAGAAAGAGTGGGTGGACAGAGGTTGTTGCCAGTCTGGAACTAGTATTGGCTGAGGAGGTCTTTGGCTGATGAGAAACCTGGCTTGATATGACCCCTGGGAAGTGAGTCGGACTGGGGGTGGAGACTGCTCTAATGTGGGAAGCAGAGCAGAACTCCTTTTTTTTCTTTTTTTTTTTTTAATCCTCTGAGAATTTTTAACTATTTGGACCATAGATTTGATGTCACCATGCCCTGAAGCCAATTTTTAAAAGTATTCACTTCTCAGTGACGTTGCCCCAGCCTCAGTATCCCCACCTGTGGAAGGAGAGATTATCAGAAGCACCAGTATCCAGCTGGGAGCAAGGTGGTGTGGTAGGATGGAGGGTCACAAAAGGTAACACTCTAGAAAGAGGTAAGAGATGAGGGAGAAGATTGAAATATTCTATTATTGGGTTTGTTTATTTTTTAGAACTAGTGCTTTTACTACGATTTCTTCTCATCCGTTATTACTCCTCAAAGACCCGACATAATGATTTCAGAATCCCCCCTCCCATCCCTACATACCTAGAGCGGCAATCTCCACCCACCCATCCACCATCAGCTCCCTGAAGCTGCGGAGCAGCTGGTGGGGAAAAAGGGAGAGGGCTCCTCCCTGGAGGGGGCAGTGAGGAGGCTGGTGGCGGCGGAGTCTCTAAGGGATTTAACCTCCAACCCTCAGTGCCACCACGCCACCCCTCCCTCCCTGGGCTGGGACAGCGCCTCCATATTTGTTTTGGGGCGGAGGGACACGGACTCGTGCATGCGAAGGGTCAAAGGAAACGGTGATTATCACCTGTGAGGGGTATGAGGATGCACTCCTCCCTCCTTTCCTTCCTCTCAGGCTCACCCCCTGCCACCCTCCCCACCTTTTCGGGGTCTCCCCCCCCTTGTTGCTAAGGCCCGGACCGTCATCCCAGCAACAGCCTCAGTCATGTGACCGGCAATGGCGGCGCTGACGAGAGGTAGGTGAGTCCGGCGTCCCTCACACCCACCGCGCGCCCCCTGGGCCCTGCCCGTGCCCCCGCGTGCCCCCCGCCCCTGTGCGCCCCCCTCCTTCGCCCCTTTCCCCGCGCGCGGCTTCAGGAGGCCGATCCAGGCACCACTGATCCTCTTTCACTGTCCTCCAGTCTTGGCCTCCATTTAGGGGTTTTGGGGGCCTCGATGCTGCCGACGCATCTCCACCTTGCCGGAGCAGTCTTCCAGACCTTGGGGCGAGGAGGGGATGTGGGGGGTTGGTTCTGGGTCAGGTCTTGAAAGGAACCGTAGGGGGATGGGTGGAGGTACCTCAGCAGCTGCCCCCGGGGACCCTCGCCCTTCTGGCTGTCCCTCCTGGCAGCATCTGTCTGGAGGGAAGGACCGGCCCCGTGTCTGGCCCAGCTTGCCCTAGAGGAATAACAAATCCAGCATAAACTGTGGCCCCG